CACACCTCAACAGCTTCTCATGATCTACAAAGCGCAGATACGGCCTGTTCTAGAATACTGTTCCCACATATGGGGTTCAGCACCAAAACATACACTGATGCTCCTAGATTCCATCCAGAGAAGAGCCATTCGCCTGGTGGGTGACACCACACTCACTCACTCTTTGACATCATTGGAACACCGTAGGAAGGTCGGCGACCTTTCATTTTTCTATCGATACTTCCACGGGAAATGTTCTTCAGAAATCTCTGCTATAATCCCTTCACTAGCAATACCAATCAGACGAACTAGACAAGCCCAGTCAGCAGATCCTTCCGTTGTCAACCTCGAAAGATGTCGAACAGCACTTTATCAAGACTCCTTCATCCATAGAACGGCTAGGCTCTGGAATTCATTGCCTGTGGAAGTATTCCCAACAACATATAATCTCCAAAAGTTCAAAAAAAATCCAATACCTACCTCTTGTCCCTATCCTCCCTAGGAACGCACGATGTTCTTTAAACATTATAGGGATTCCCTTTCGTGCGCTCCAAGCGATAAAAAAAAATAAAAAATAAAAATTAGGCGAATCGAAAATTAGTCGTATCGAAAATTAGGTGAAACGAAATGTTGGCTCAACGACATACTTGAATGAGAAATGATTGTTGATAATTCCCGTGCCATTGAATCCGAGAAATTGTGACATTATTTGACAACAACGCATCTTCCGGGTATGTTCGGAGAACGTGGGTGGGACGAAAATTGGGTGAATCGAGAATGGGGCGAATAAAAAATTGGGCGAATCGAGAATTGGGCCAAACGAGATGTTCCCGTCAGTTTCACTGTATTCTGGAAAATTCCAAGAATTCAGAAAAACAAATATACAACAGACACTATGAAATTATACAGGGTGGGCCACCAGTAACGCCTCGGTCTCTAGAAGGCTAACCACTTATCTTCTTGGAATTCTTCCTCTCTAGGAAGTTGCATGTCAACATAGGCTACCATTTAAAATTATTTCGAAACATACAGGGTGTCCCCAAAAACCATAAAACACTGAAGTTAAACTTTTTTCTATCGAACACCCTATATATTATTTCATTTTGAGATTCTCCCTGATGAGCTGATTCCAACGACCCATCATACTTGGGGTCTAGCAGTTATAATTACTGAAATATAGGGTGTGAAAAATCGAGATTTTCCAAGTTCAAGAATTTTTTGTGTCGAAACTATTCATAATTATTGGTCAAAACGGCTTACATGTCCCTATCTCAACTTTTGATTAACTATCTACTGATATTTAATTGGGACATATACCGGGTGATCAAGATTCTGAATTCTGCACCACCCTGTATTTGTTTCAATTAAATGTCAGTAGATAGTTGATCAAGAGTTGAGATAGGGACATGTGAACCGTTTTGACCAATTATGAATGGTTTAGACACAAAAAATTCTTGAACTTGGAAAATCTCGATTTCTCACACGCTATATCTCAGTAATTATAACTGCTAGACCCCAAGTATGATGAGTCGTTGAAATCAGCTCATCAGATGAGTGGTTAGCCTTCTAGAGACCGAGGCGTTACTGGTGGCCCACCCTGTAGAGTTTTTTTTTCTCAAACGAACTCCATAAGACCCTTTATTCGAGTTGCGATACATTCTTAGCGTATGTTTATCTAGAAAAAAAACCTAATTTTGGCGAATATCACTCCTCTGAATCAATGCACCGTCATGTGATAAACTACGAAAGAACTGTTATGCACTGAGATTTATGTCGAATCATTGTGGAATAGAGGTCCTGCTAAATCTGTATTATGCAACTATTGGCTGTCACCTGCGCTATGGAATCCTAAATTGGGGTATGAGCTCTTCTGTTGAAAGAGTATTCATTCTACAAAAATTTAGGATGGCGACAATCATGCAGAAACTCATTTAGAGAGCTGGAAATACTCACAGTTGCTGGTTTATAAGAATATAGATAAATTTAGGGCAAACCAACAAGACCACCCTTATCCAACGAGAGCAAGATGTTTGCTGATAGCAAACCCTCACCGAACCTTCCTTTATCAGAGGAGTCACCTCTACCTTGGACCCAAACTAATTAACAAGCTAGATGTTTCTATTAAGGATTCAAAGAATATCTCCATATTCAAAAGACAATTGAAAAAATATCTCATAGAAAGAAACTGCTACACCGTTGACGAGTTTTAATAACTCACGATAATCAATAAATCACCCATCTGTATATGTCCAAATTAATAGGTGTCAAGTTTTGTCGTTTTATATAAAATGTTTGTTTTTTTCTATATATATATTTATCTCCTACTCTCTTATTTATACACAGACGTATTCCTTGTTACTGTACGTAAATGTTTATTGTAACGCTTTCATACGGTTTAACAAGTGAAATAAATATTATTATTATTATTATTATTATTATTATTATTATTGTGGACCACTCTGTACATGTATTCCAATCTCACATCGTGATGGACCGACATAGAGTGGACCAGAGTTAACACCGGATACCGGACTAATTATGGCAGACGTTACACTATTGCCTTGGAGCGAGCAGTTCGGATCTAGTGGTCCGGAAACTCCTGAAAGCTTGTCGGCGTCACAGAATGACGTGTTCGCGCAAATCCCTATTGTCTGACAAGATTCAATATCGGCGCGAACATGGTAGGTATTATAATGTTTAGTGCCTCGAAATGGGCCACTCTGCTTCTAATACCGACACCGAGAAACACGGGCTGAGTGAGTAACTATGTTACTCAGATTTTACTTTAACAAACTCCACTTTGACGCAAACCTTTTTCCTCCCAGTGATCTCTTCCTAAACTGCTCAACACACAAAACGTACACTACACTGTTTTACCACTAACCAAACCGATTTATTAACGCCTCGACACGTGTTTCGCTAACTATGTTAGCATCTTCAGGAGAAGATTAAAACTGTCGAGGCGTTAATAAAATCGGTTTGGTTAGTGGTAAAACAGTGTAGTGTATTATCGTGCCAAAGGTTCCAGTCTTCGATATAACACAAAACGTAAAATCGCATTTTTTCGATCAAATTTGAAACATCATAACTTTCGATTGTCTTGACCGATTTTCAATTATTTTTCAGTTTCTGAAAGCTCGTTTCATTGACTATCGAACCTATGGATATGACTATTTTATCTTCTCCGGATGAGATTCTACAGGGTGTTGATCAAAGCTGTGCTTTTTTCCAAAAATTTCAAACGCTTCCCGTTTGAAAGAAAAGTTTTTCTATCATTTTTCGGGGTCAAAAACATGATGCTTCATATGTTTTCTCGATAATTTGAGATTTTTTTTGGAATTGGCACACGCGTTACTGAAATATGGTTTATTAAGATGATGCATAATTTGATGCTCTAATTTCTATTGGCATTGTGTTCCTGTCAATCTGGTACGAATGGTGGTCAAGAATCTTGAAATCATGCATGATCAACCTACTCTTGATATTCACTACTGGAATCTGAAAATGAGAATGATAAATTCGAGATTAATAATTAATGAAAACATCCTGTAACTCGTTTGATTTCCAACGTCAGCAATTGTCACTGAGAACTGAGATGTGTCAGGACGAAAACGAATTTGCCATACAGAAATTTATTTTTTATGTTGAAAACGGGAGCAGATTCGTTCTCGAAACGTATAAAGATAAGAGAAAATTTGATATTTTTCCCATATACCTTCATTCCGCTTCTCCGAATGATCACTTACAACCTGATGAGTTTTTCTTTCAGGCTCTCTGATAAAAAAAATTCTTGAAACGCAGTGAGATTTTGTGGCAAATCATCTGATTAGTCCTAACTACACGTATATTGAAAAAATATTCATACATTCATTTCAGAGAGACGAGGAGAGAAAATCCCAAGAAATCTGGAATAATGAATGTACCACTACCTTGATTAAACTACAGACAGAATGTTTATATAGTTATGTATTATACAAGGGAAAAACGTGGTAGATTTCAGCTCCAGGTTGTGTGACAAAAAACCGTGAGCTAAAATCTGATATTCTTCCCGTGTATAATACACAATTTTTTTCTGTGACAGAAGAACGGACGAATCAATATTGAGAAGATATTACAATATTTTGAAATCAGAAAATTATCGACGTGAAACTTCAAGTTTTTAACAGTAGGGACACCTGCGTTGTAGGCATCTTTCTCAATCTCTTGAGGTAATCAAATATCTGATGTCACTTCTGTCAGTCTAATTCTGTGATTTGATTTCGAAGATTGCGAATTAAGTGATTGTTTAGTAATATACCTACGTAACCGCGAAGTCGAATGGAAGATAAAAGGACTTGCAGTTCTTTGTCAGAGACGGTATTATCGTCATTATTCGGAACTATAGCACAACAAAAGCTATCAACAGTGTGTATATATATATATATATATATGTGATATGCAAGATGATTCTGAAATAGGTGATCAAACTTTGGGAGTATATAGAGTAACTGATAATTTCATGTGAAAAAACTGAAATTGCGATGAACAAAAAAGTTGGGGATATTATTACCTCCTACCTCCCTATTTTGACACACCCCTGTATTCAATTTTGAGGTGATTTTAACTTCATTCGAACCGGCACTGAATAGTTAGTGGATAAACAATATTTCAGATTTTCGTCATAGAAGGTGTTGGAGATAATAATACAAAATCATTCTCCGAGGCCCTCCTTTGAGGGGCAGTATCTTTCTTGGGAGTCACTTCAGATAAAAAATGTTACCGAGGTTTTCGTAATTATTTCACCCACTTCATATACTCCCAAAGTTTGACCACCTATTTCAGAATCACCTTGTATATCCATGAAAAAAGTACTCACTTTTTTCCCACGGGAAAAAGTAATGAATGAAAAGTGACATTTTATAACCTACCAACAGAGATGAAACGCCAAACTTTTTTCCCGTCACAGAAACTCTTTTTTTTTCTCGGTGGCCCTTTAGATCTCCTAAATTCTCACTGACGATATGTAAAATGGAAGCACTCACCGTCAGTTTGGATGAATTGGTGCACATGAATGTAGGGACGTTGGTTCTTGAGCAATTTTCTCAGTCTGGGGCAGACTAGCTCGCGCATTGCCCCTCACATAGGGGCGATCCCCCAGCCGAGCACATGTGTGCCCCAATGCGAACGTAACGGAAGCCGTCCACCGGGAGACTGAAACCTGAAAGAGGAACAAAAAGTTCAGTGGGTCGCCGTATATTTCTCCATGGGCGCTCACAAAGAGGGCTCCCTCCCCTCCCTATCTTCTTCAACATATTTGGAACACTTCGTTTGTTCAATTTCTAGATATCTATCAGTCAATCACTATACGCTTTATACATACATACATATTTGAATGACATATAATGAACAATATGCGATTCAGAGTGTAGAGCTTTCTGAAACACATTTGAAGATATACAATCAAAAGTTCGTATGAAGCCTTGGTTAAAAATGAAAAATAAAGAACAACACAGATAAACAATAATAAAACATATAGAATATTATAATGAAACTATCACATCTGAGAGCTCCTATAAAGCCATAGTCAGATATTATAGAGTATATGTTGTATAAACTGGAAACTCTGACCACACCCTCATCTCCTCAACCTGCTCTTTCCAATTCGGCCGATTGGAAAGGTCTTCGTATTTTTTTTCAGCGTTTCCAGCATAGATGAGAGTTTGTTTCTCCTCAGCAGATCGAACACGATGTGCTGAGACAATTTCTGAAATCATCTTGTTGGGGATGCAAACCTACATACCGAACACTGCAAGAAGTACATCTTTCGATGAGGCCTGGCTCAGTGGAAACTGCTCCAGAGCAGTCGCTTCCAAACAGGCAGCATTCCATCGATAGCAAAAAGATCCAGGCCCTGAGACTAGAGCAGAATATGTTGAGGCTAGAGGCATTTGCAATGAGACAATTCGATCATCAAAGGATGCTCATAATGCCACAATGAGATCAAAACTTGTTGAATGTCCTAATGGATTCCGTTCATTTTGGTCCTTTGCCAAAGCTGTAGGAAGAAACTTCACTTCCTGCTCGTTTCCTCCTCTAACCAAGGAAGATGGAACACAACCTACATCTGCCCAGGAGAAAGCCAACATTTTTGCGCAGTTATTTGCTGAAAATTCCACTCTGGATTCATCGGGAAAACAATCTACGAACATAACGCCAATTGACAGTCATATGACCGAGATCACCTTTCGCCAACATACTATAAGGAAGATTTTATTAAGTCTCAACACCAACAAAGCTTGTGGCTCCGACGGAATCCCACCGATTGTTCTCTAGAAATGTGCTCCCGAACTAACACCTGTTCTCTGCAAGTTGTTCAACTACTCTTAACAAATTGGGGATATTCTCGTCCATTTGGAAAATTGCAAGAGTACAACCAGTTTCCAAAGAAGGCAAAAAGATCCTGCCTAGCAACTACTGATCGATCGCTCTGCAATCTATTATTTCAAAGATCATGGAGGAAACTATCAACATCGAACTCATGAAATACCTGCAACATCCAGGTATAATCAACGTTAGGCAATATGGCTTCCATCATCAGAGATCAACTGGCGACCTGCTCGCTTACGTCTAATATATATGGCAGCAATCTATTGAAAAATATTGTGAAACCTCAGCCGTAGCACTTGATATCTCCAAGGCATTCGATCGAGTCTGGCACAACGGACTCCTCGCTAAGCTTCCATCCAACTATGTCATTCACATTTTTTTTATTTTCTGGTTCTCACGAAAAGGGATATGTTCATATAACATCGTGAGAACCAAGAAAAATATGGTAGGAATTGGCTTAGGTTGGTCACAGTGAGATCGACTTTCCTAGAGAAAAGGCATGCTTGTGTTTCGTTTACATTGAAATCTACCAAGTTATTTGATCCTCATTCTAGAATTGTTGCCAAGTCCATATTTATGTTGTCAACATTTCTCCCTCGTTCGTTTCTGATTTGCCTGGCTGGTATTGGAGCCCTGGAAGAGAAGGCGGTATGGAAGGTACTATCATCCGCGAAGCTGTGTACTGGACATGGAGTTGCTTCCAACAAATCGTCGATATGGAGTAGAAATAGTGTCGGTGCTATAATTGATCCTTGCGGAACACCAGAATTTATGATGAGAGAGTCAGATGAAACTCCGTCGACCACTACATGGAGAGACCTGGTTGAGAGAAAACGAGCTAGCAGAGATCATAGCTAGGGAGGCAAGCCATAAGATGGAAGCTTGGCGAGGAGTCAGTGGTGCCAACTTATCATATTATATGTGAGTCAAGTCGTATAGACCGTATAAAGCAAATAGTTTTGGTCTGAGGAATATGTATTAGGAAGGTTATTGTAGAGACAGTACATTGTTGTTGACTCGTTTATATGTTTTATGAAATATGGGTCATAATGTATACATTATCTTGCTCTGGTGGAAATCTTACTTCCGATTTGAAGGCATTCAACCTCGAACGAAACAAAAAAAAAAGAGTGGCGTGAGGCGAATTTTTCTCTACAGGTATAGAGAATTTGATTCTGGCCACTCTCGAGAAAAATTTCTGCGGGCGCCAATGCGTTTCTCACGGAAAAGTGCTTGCGAATGGCCCTTATGATAGCGTGACATTTTTTTAATGCTGTTTTTCCACGTGCTACGATCAGAGTGGCCATTTGTATTATCCTTTATTCTTCCATTCTTGTGTGAACAGCTTCTTATTCAATGTTAGCGACAAAGCCTACTTGAATTTTTGATGACAATATGGACAAAATTATCAGCTTTTGAATTCCAACTTCTTGTCATTGCAAATTACTTGCATTGATTATTTAAAATCCCAATAACTTGAAAACAGTTCCACGCAGCGACCTCTACCAGGCATATATTTTTCACTCAAGAGTAATCCAAAAGTGAGTTTCTTGTTCTGCAAGCTGTGTGCATTATACCTTCTTGAAAGTCGTCTTATATGGTCAATGCAAACTTGTCTGCTTCAATAGTGTCAATGTAAGATGATAGGATAGAGAGATATAATATGCACAACGATGAAGTCGATGTATCTTCATTTGCCTATTGTACTCGTTATACAGGGTCGCTGATATGTATGGAAACAGGTGAATATCTTAGTAACATATTGTTGGATTTTTTTGAATTTATGTTCAGTGTGATTTCAAAACGTGGCGGATTTGGAAATGTTATAGCCAATGTTGCCACTTTTTCAGTTATTCCGGATCTTTTATTAACTTCCTTATTTTGAATGAAACACCCAGAACTTTATTGAATTTTTAGATTCTCCTTGAAGAGCTGATTCCATCGATCTATCACACTTGGGGGTCTAGCAGGAATGATTACATAGGTATAGGGTGTTTAAAATCTAGATTTCTCAACTTTAGGATTTTTTATGTCGAAACTATCCATTATCGATCGAAACCGCTTCAACGTTCCTATATTTTCTTTTGATTTACAATTTACTGACATTTAATTGAAACAAATACAGGGTGGTTCAAGATTCAGAATTCTGATCACCCTCTGTATCTGTTCCATTTAAATCAGTAGATAGTAAATCAAAAGTAAAGATAGGAATATTAGAGCGGTTTTGATCGATAATGGATAGTTTCGATACCAAAAAATCTTGAAGTTGAAAAATCTAGATTTTAGACACCCTATACCTATGTAATCATTCCCGCTAGACCCCAAGTGTGATAGATCGATGGAATCAGCTATTCAAGAAGTATCTGAAAACCCAATAAAGTACAGGGTGTTTTATTCAAAATGAGGAAGTTAATAAGATTCCGGAATATCTGAAAAAGTGGCAACATTGCCTATAACACTTTCAAATCCGCCACATTTTGAAATCACACTGCACATAAATTCAAAAAATCCAACGACTGGTTACCGAGATATTCACATGTTTCCATACAAATCAGCGACCCTGTATACCCTTCAATGTCGTCTTATACGGTCACTGCAATCGTATATGCTTCAACTGTATGCATGTCAGATGCTAGACTGCAGAGTTACAGTGTAAACATAGTCGAAGTCGAAGTTTCTTGTTCTGCAAGCTGTGTGCGTAAAACCTACAGGAAAAAAGTTTTTCAAAAGACTCAAAAGAAATGTAGTTGGCGTTACCTTCACGAAAGAGGTTAACTAGCATATCAAGGTTAGCATATAATTTGATGTTGTCATTGAAAAATAACCCTAGGAACCAAACTTCGAATATAACAATTATTTAGACATCTATACAGGATATCCCTCTTCGTGAGAACCAGAACATAATAAAAAACTCTGTATCTCAGTAACGAATAACTTCCGGACATATATTTGTACGAATTTTTCTTCTCATTCTGACGTCAGCAACATGCTCCTGAATTTTCAACATGCACGTACTTAGGAAACACCCTGTATAGAGTTCAAAGTTCCAAAATGTATCATAAGTACTCCATTTTTTCATGACAGTAATTCTAGGAGGAATGCAGAATGTGAGTAATTCTTTCGCTTGCTTTGAACCATCAGCATTTTCAAACACAATGAATGTCCGGCTTTAGCAAATGGACTGTCCTTCCTAGTGGAGAATAAATTGAATTTTCTCTTTGACGCAGGATTGATTGTCTATAAAGCACAACGTTCCCTTAGCACGTAAAGCTTTGAGGTAGGTTCACCGAAATATCATAATCCTACAGTAGAGTAGTTGTAAGTGGCAGAATTCGCATTTCTGGAAGATCAATGGGAAACTTGAACAGATTAATTCATACGTTCGCAGATGTTCATACTACATACAGATATTCTAAGAAGGCCGGGCAATAGGGAAAGCAATAACTGCCCACTGGAAGTGCACACCTCGCTGATCTCCCAACTGATGAAATTATCAGGAAGTTAAATTTGGAGAAAAATTTTCGAACAAAACTAAGCACCAAGAAAGAATGGAGCACAGAATCCATCCAAGCACTGGGAAAGAATACCATAACATGGTACACGTATGGATCTAAGACACCCGAGGGAACTGGAGCAGGAGTGTTTGGGCCTCGCACTGAGTTTTCCGAATGGATGGGCCAGTTTCCCAGTGTTTTCCAAGCGGAAATTCACGCCATAAGAAGGTGCATTCAGTTCAAGCTCGACAGGAAATACCGGAACAAGGAGATCGGTACCCCTTTCGACAGCCAAGCAGCCATCAAATCGTTGAGCTCCCTTAATATCAACTGAAAA